CCGCCCAGCTCCTGGGGCTCGCTGGGCTCCACGTCATGCACCTTCCCCTGCCACTAAAGCACGGACATCCTGCAAACAGGACTCCGGGGGATGGATGAAGCGACGTGGATCTCACCTGCTTTCTTTTTAGACAGGGACGTGGCCATATGGGCAGGGGGTGCCGGGGTGTCCCCTTGAGCAGTGTCAAGGCACCAAAGTACCAGCGACCGGGGTTGCGTGTCGCTGAGCACAGGAGACAGCGAGCAGACTGCCAGGCCCCTGGGCCACCGCCACCCGCACGAGCCCAGGCTAGCAGCGGTGCGTGTGGACAGAGGGCTGAGAAATGCCTGGGAAGCAGATGTCACTCACTCCACACTCAGGAGAGGCCCCGAAAGACCGGGTCCCGCACCCCGTGGGGAGGACTGGGCTCTGGTCCCAGCGAGGTGAGGAGGCACGCGTTCAGCTGTCAGGAGCGGGCTCCCTTGTAAAGCGTGGGGTGAGGGGGACACCGCGGAGTGCCCGCCCGCACGTAGAGCAAGGGTCGCTGGCAATTGAGCTTTGACACAACCCTAGCAGGTGGGCGTTGATGACATCAGTGCTACACACACACACACCCCACGCTGAAGCTGTCCACATGCAAAGGCAGAACGGACAAGAGCATGACTCGGGTCGGTAAAGCGCGATGAGCACTGGAGGCGACGCCCAGGCCAGAAAAGGAAGCCGGGTCAGTGCTTCTACACAGTCACACAGTGTCTTGGCTGATGGGGGCCCTTTGCTGACAGGCTGTCCCTGGCGGGAGTCCACCTTTAAGACCTTGACCGTCTCTCCTGCCTTCTGTCAAGGCCTTATCTCTCCTGTGTCTGTTCCTGCTGCTCCTCAAACTAATAGCAGAGAAAACAGACACTAAATAAGCAGCACTGACCACTGAGCACTGACCGGGAGGCGTGTGTGTGTGTGTTTGCACACTCATGTGTGAGAGCTCTAAATGCTCTTCATATTACAGCTAGGAATTTGAGACAAAGCCGGAAAAAAACTGAGGGGAGTATGGGCTCTAAACACGCTTCGTCATTTGGGGCTGATGGCAAGGTAAATACTTATACATTTTGCCTGAACACACGCACCAAGAGAATTAATGATTCCTTTGAGTCACACTCTTGCATGAAGGAGCTGCGACTTGCGAAGTCATCTTGATTGTTCTAGACCAGTGGTTCTCAACCTTCCTAATGCCATGTGAATGCCATGCCCTGGAGGCCAAGGCCGTCTACAGAGACGCCTGCAATGCTGGGCAATGTGTTAGCCCAGAATCACCATGTGGAGGCCTCGCTTGGGGCCATTTTCCTGGGCCTCCAGTTCTTTGCAGTGTTTTCTCTCTAGAGGAGCCCAGCGCCTTTCTAAACACACGCACACCCGTGCACACACATTACTGCCACCGCCAGCACCACCACTACCCACAACAACAAAACACCATCCTCCCCATGGCCGAACGCTGTGCTCCACGGTAAAGCTGTGCCTCCCGGGTGCCATAGCTGTGCCATGATGCTTGGAAACGAAAAAAGGAAAACTTCCCTAGAAACAGGAAGCAGAAACACACTTCTCTCGGACACAGAGCACTGTCCCTCCAGCAGCAGGTGGGCCTGGGCCTCGGGACAGGGAGGCCCGCCTGATTGGCCAGCGTGCAGGCCAGCGCTGAGCTGGGATTCCCGTAGCTGTGTGTGCGGCGCTTCTCTACCTGTGAGTCCCTGGGCGGTGTACAGTGGGACACCATTCAGCTGTCAAGACAAGGTGGATGCAAAAAAGATCACACTGCCAAACAGTGTTGCATAACTGGGAGGTGTTTGTGTGACAACTATGTTCCACATTTTCATATTTGGCAAGGCGGCAGGCTGTAGGGAGCGCTGGAAACAGCCTCATGCAGGCATAGGCCCATCGAAAGTTCCAGCTCATCTGCTACGCCTGCCGCGCCGTTCCGCTTTGTTTGCACAAACGAGGCTGCCACACAACATTCCAGTTCGTCGTGCGGGTGGTGGTCCAGCACTTGTGGGCAAGGAAAGACCGCAGAGTAGGCAGGAGGCAGATCACAGAGCACATGTGAGTTACACACCATGTGGAGAATATTGACTTACAGGTGACTTCCTCCAAACCCTGTCCCTTGTCTCCACTCCCCTCCTCCCACCACCCACGCAAATGAATATTGACTTACAGGTGACTTCCTCCAAACCCTGTCTCCACTCCCCTCCACCACCACCCCCTCAAACACCCTAAAATTTTAATTTGTTCCTTCTCAACTTTTAAGTTTTTTAAACCTATTTTCTCTCCAACCTGTCAATCAGAGCCTGAACCCTTATGTGCCCAGAGCGCCCTCTTGATAGACTTTCATGGAAGTGGAATCACTCTAAGAGACAGCAAAGGCCATCCTGTTATCTCCTCCCTTCAGCTCCGTGGGGGTCACTGCTGCTCCCCATGATGCCTGCGGTGCTGGTGGCAAGAATGGGATTCATACTTGGCCAATGCTACCTGAGGCCCATTCACGTGGCCAGTGCCTATGGCGTGAAGGCTCTCGGGAGCTGCCCTGCATGGAAGTCCTTCCATGGTCTCCACACTGAATACTATGGGTCTTCTGCCTTGACCGGCCCATGAGACCCCTTCAGTAGCCACGGTGACCCCAGGTCCAGCCCTGGAAACATAAGAGCCCCAACATCCTCAGCCTCTTGGCGGCTGATTTTTCATGGAGACCACCCCACCTGGTTAGCCATCTTGATGTCACGTTCAGTGATTTCTGAGACTGACTTGAGGCTTTGTCCTAACTTGCCTTGTAGGTCACATTCCCTGACAGACTCGCATGTGCTATTACTAATTTTTGCATTTTCCAAACTGCGTGTTATGGTTTCATGGGAGAGAAGAAAATAAAGTTCTATCTTCTGATGTGTTCATTGCTTTGTACATTTCTAAGAAGAGGGTAGAGCCATTTTCCACACCTATTTCACCACAGATCCTTTCTTTTAGCCAAATATTTGTTGATATCTTCTGAGATACAAGCATTCACCAAATCATGGCCTACATTCCACCTACACCAAGCCTTCTGAATTCACGTTAGCATTTATCTTTGGTCCTGGAAACCAGGAAGAACAAGGGTATGGCTAAGAACCTGGGGCACTTACTTGAAGGAGTCGAGAGCATCGCTGACTGCGTTGGCAAAATTGATATCCGTCGGGGAAGTTTTATATTCCAGGCAGTAGGTGGGTCTCACACCAAGAATCTCCACTTCACAGCCTAAGAAGGAAATAGATAGTAAATAGTTATCTTCTTCAATGATTGAGGTAGGGTGATGAGCTTATTTCAGGATGTAAGCTCCATTAGTAAAAAAATAAAAAATAAAATAAAATTGTTGTTCATTTTTAAGAAATAAAAGAACTTATTGCTGGTAAGTGGCATAGTTAACTGTAATTTTGTTTAACTGGAGCAGAAATTCTCAAATGTCATTTCCATGCAACACCAGTGTCCCTGGCAGGGACGGTTAATAACTGTCTTCCTCAATCCCCACATTTGAAACAAAAAATTAATTAGTACATAGAAATGTCTCCATTAAAACATTTTTCCTGTAGAGTTTTTCATAACCACTAATTCCTCTCTTGTACCATTGCCTATTCTACAGTCAGGTATTAGGCACTATCTGATTAGTCCAGGAATAATAAAATAAGCATTTCACTAGTCTGACTGGACTTAGAGGGGCTGCACTAGATTAGCAAGCCTAAAAATCACCGAGCAAAAGCAAGGACTCGGAGCCGTGACCTTGCCTCTCCCCAAATGAAGCAAAAGAATAAAAGGCATTCAGATGGTAGGGGCTGCTGTGGCCTTAGCTTCTCTGCCCCAGCCCCCTGGCAGGTAGAAGCAGTTGCCCTGAGGAAGAGACTCCCAACTTCTCAGGATACAAGGCAGGAGAGGGCTGAGCCCGTTTCAGTTTGAGTTAGTTGGGTGCATTCATTGAGCACCTACTATGAACTAGTTGCCATGTTCAAACGAGGTGGAAACAGGCATTTATCAGCCGGGGTCTCCAACCCGGAGCATCCCGGAGAGGAGTCCAGTGGGAGGAGACATACAGGAAAACAGTGTATGCGTGAAGGCTGAGTGAAATGCACACTTACTGGGTGGTGAGGGGCACTTCCTCCTGGAAGCCTTTCTTGAATGCCCATGTTGGGCTCAGTTGCACAGACTGCATCTAGCCAATGCGTCGGGGGCTGGGAGTGAAGGTGGGAAAGAAAGGGACATCCCCAGCAAAGAGAGCAGCAGAAGCAAAAGTTCAAAGTTAGACACAATAAGGTGTGTGTGGAGAACTGTCAGCACAACACAGCCCCAGACAGGGGGTGTCAGGAGACCAGATGGCGAGCTTTCCTGTAGCCCAGGGAGAATGATTTCCAAGGTGGAAGTGAGTCAAAGTGGGACAAGTTGGGAATGTGGGGAGAAAGGAGTGTCTCTGTCAAGAATCACATTAACTCCACTCCTGGGTACATCTGGTTCCAGCTGGTAGCCATCTGGTGTGTAGCTGGTTACAGCTGATTTATTAGCAGGTGGGGCAGCCCCCAAGAAGAATTCCTTCATCCGGCATACCGGAGCAAGCTCTGAGTGCTCCGTGGAGACGCCATCCCTCCCTGGCTGATATCATGGGTGCAGGGAGAGCAAGCCTATCTAAGGGAGGCCCAGAAGGCAGGAAGCTGCCTGCCCAAGACTCGTTTGTTGAGAAGGATGAACAGGCTACAGGCCCCAAGAGTAAATCCTGCCCATGGGTTCTTGGAAAATATTCATCATTGGAAGAAATGCCAGTGGGATCTTGGCCAGTTAGAGCACTTAAGATACCTGTGTTTCATCGGTTGAAGGTTCATTTGTGAATGTTTATTCTTCTCTCAAAGATAATTTAGTCAGCCAGGTGTGAGTGGGCCCACACTTTGTATCTACTCTGTGCTCGGGGTCAACACCCCAAATGCAAGTAAGACACCGCCTATCCTACAAAAGATTACCAGCCTTACACAGTGTGGCCAGGTATCTGCTTCTGGCACATCTGACATATAGTTATGTGAGTTTGCAAGCAAGCAATGGAATTTTGACCAGGCTTTTGCAGATAAAGCAAACTGCATTGAGAAGTTTTAACTTTGGGTGGTGGGCACACTGTGCAATATTTAGATCTTCTAAGATAGAAATGCACACCTGAAACCTATACGATCATGCTGACCAAAAGTACTCAATACACTTCATAAATAAAAAGCTGCACACTTTTTTGTGTTTGTACATTGATATCAAACCATAAGTGTTTTGTATAATAATTATGTTTGTTAATATTATCAATCATATATTCTTTTAATGCTTTGTTGGATTAAAATGAATCTGGATTTAATTTTGGCATAGTTATACAGTTCACCTGAGAAATGTATACTTGCATAGGTTAAAGGATGATGTAAAAAAATTTTATTGATTACACATAGAATTATATAGTAAAGTTAGACACAATGTGTGGCAATGTAGACCTATAGTAACAGTGTTATGGATTTTTTTTTTATTTTTAAAAATTACAATGAATTTTAACTTGAGAACCATGGCAGCATCCTTCCAGAACTGCATTAGTGTCTTCGTGTCTTTCTCAGTTGCATGGTAGCCTGAGCAAAAGTCTCCCTCAGATAATAGGCCTTAAATGCTGTGATAGCCCTAGCTGGTTTGGCTCAGTGGATAGAGCATTGGCCTGCAGAATGAAAGGTCACAGGTTTGATTCCAGTCAAGGGCACATGCCCGAGTTATGGGCTTAGTCCCAGTAGGTGGCATGCTGGAGGCAGCCAATCAATGATTTTCTCTCATCATTGATGTTTCTATCTCTCTCTCCCTCTCCCTTCCTCTCTGAAATCAATAAAAATAAAATAATCTTTTAAAAGCTGCTATAATTCCTTGATCCATTGGTTGACTCAAAGAGGTAGTGGTTCGAGGGAGAATATCCACTCTGATATTGGGAAGAAGATAACCAGTAAAAGCAAGATGTTCAGGAGCATGATCAACAATAAGTAAAATCTTGAAAGGTATATTATTCTCCAAACCTACTTCTCTCCCTTTCACTGGCTTAACAAACCAGCAGGGCACCCTGGAAGAGGAGCGGGGTCATCGGTGACTTCTCATGGCCCCTGCAGTGTACTGGCATGTGTACTTACTGATATGCTTGAAGGCCCTGGGTTCCCACTGTGCCAGATCACAAAGGGTTTCAATTTGCATCCTGCAACATTGCCCCCAAGCAAGACTGTTATCCTGTCCTTAAAAGCCCTGAAACCTGATATTAACTTGGCCTCCTTATGGATGAAAGTCATTTCAGGCATTCATTTCCAGATTAGGGGGGTTTTTATCAACTTGAATATTTGCTTTGGCAAGTAATTTTCCTCCACAGTCAGCTTATCTAGAGTTTCCGAAAATTCTTCAGCTGCCTTCACATCAGTACTCCAGACTAACCCCTCACTTTCACACTATGTAATTAATAACGATTCTTGAGTCATTTAAGCCACCCAGAGCTAGCAGTCAATTCAGCATTGTAGGAGGGTCCAGCCTTTTCTCTCAACACTGCAGACGCTTTGCCTTGGCCATGATCGGCACGGTGCTGAGAGGAAAATGGTCCTGTGGCTGGTCTTTGATCCGGGTCATTAGAAGTTTCTCTGTGTCTGATATGCGCCCTTCTCAACTTGGTCTCACGGCCTTCAGACCCTTTAATGAAGCAAACCCTTTAACAGCTTCCATCACTTTCTTATTCTTCAAGTTCGTAGCTATGGTGGAAGGGACATGTGTGGCTGAAGAGCAATAACCATCACGGATTTTCCACCTTTGTAGTCATTAACCACTTTTACTTCATTTCCAGGCCAATCACTCAGCATGGCCTCTTATTGGCAACACTAGTGGCCCGGTGCATGAAATTCGTGCATGGGGGGGGGAGGGGTGTCCCTCAGCTCGGCCTGCACCCTCTCGCAATCTGGGACTGCTGGCTCCTAACTGCTGACCTGCCTGCCTGCCTGATCGCCCCTAACCACTCTGCCTGCCGGCCTGCTTGCCCCCAACTGCCCTCCCCTCCTGGCCTGATCGCCCTAACCACCTCTGCCTTGGCCCCACCACCATGGCTTTGTCCAGAAGGACGTCCGGAAGGTCTCCTGGTCTAATTAGCACATTACCCTTTTATTAGTATAGATTAGCAGTGGATTTTGTATACTTAGGGGCCTTGATAAATTTAAAAACATGAGATTAAATCAAGCACAAGAGAAAATAATGCAATCAAGAGACTCAATGAACACAAGATGTATGAGCCTGCTGCCAACCTAATACAAACGTTGTCAGTAGAAAGATGTAAAGAATAACAGATATAGAAGATGTATCTATATAAAATGTAATAGTTATATAAAGATATGGAGGATTTGAATGTTAGTATCAATAAGCTGAATGCAAGTCCTGCAGACATGGTTTCTTTGAATATAAGCTATACCTCCATGTGCCCTGAGACAGAACTAGACTCCTACCCAAGTGGACAGAAACAGGGGCAAATGCAATCCTTCTGCTCCCTTGTCCTGTCCAATGGCTTCTCCTTGGTGAAGTCTCAAAAGGAGAAGCAGCCCTAGCCGGTTTGGCTCAGTGGATAGAACGTCAGCCTATGGACTGAAGAGTCCTGGGTTCGACTCCAGTCAAGGCCACATGCCCGGGTTGCGGGTTTGATCCCCAGTAGGGGACGTGCAGGAGGCCGCCAATCAATGATTCTCTCTCATCATTGATGTTTCTATCTTTCTCTCCCTCTCCCTTCCACTCTGAAATCAATAAAAAATATTATTTTTTTTTTTTAAAAAAAGGAGAAGCATTTCCCTTACCTCGAATCTCCTAACCCAGAATGAATAAATGACAAGGAAAGCAGCCAGCAAGAAGTGACAGCCACGATGCAATAATGTGATGAAACATGAGCTAGTGAACGGGCGGTTTTAGAGAGAGCAAGGCTAGTTTTGCTTCGTGAATTAGCGCGGGCGCTTGGTCTTGTTCTCCTTGGTGTTTATCTGATGGAAATGAGCAGACTGGAGGGGGTGCTGTATGGATCCCACCAGACAGTTCTCTGCCCAGGAGTCTGTGGGCCCCTTTCTGGATCTACCACAGGGGTCATCTGTGGACGTGGGCGCATGGCTCACCCTCGGGGCTGCTGCCTCCAGGCCATTGCTGGGCTTCCCCAGGAGCATGGAGTCTGCTCAGAGGAGGTCATTGCAGGTCACTCCAAGGTGCCT